CTAAGGGCGCAGGAAAGGCTGGGTGAAGGGCAGGTTTCCATCCCCAGGATATTTGTCCAGACAGGAATGATGGCTCGGGTCCTTACACTTGTTCCAAGTTCCTGGGTCGTCGTAACCGCCCCTGGCCTTCGCCTCCTTCGAGGTCTTGAGCGTCCTCCAGTGCGCCGCGTGGCGGAGCACCTCCAGACCCATGGCATTCCTGCAGTAGAGTCCCGGGTTGCTCCTGACGTTGACCCACCGGCCAGAGTACAAGGCCTGCGTCGGGATGTCTCTGTACTCGGCCGGAAGGTGGATTCGACTGTTGTTTACCCCTTCATGACAGATAATTTCCAGAAAGAAGTGTGGACAAATGATATTCATATATCCTTTCCATACCATTCTTTTTCTGCACTTAATTCTCCTAGTTTTCAGATATGCATCAATCTGCATCCATTTGTTGAACTGATGACAGTTGACAACAATGTCTGTGTCAAAGTCCCAAGGAAGGTACTGGCCCAGCTTTATAGCCCCAAGGACAGAGCCTGCGTGCAGTTCGTAGTCCAGGTGATTTTGCTCCGCGTAGCTGACTAGATACCCGATCAGTTCCTCCATCTCTTCGACGCAACACGGCGGCAACAGATAGCTTTGGATGATGCCCAGAGGATTCCTGCACGAGATGCCCACCGACTCGCAGCTGAAGAGGTGCTCTCTGCCGTCGAAAGCCTGCACCTTCTGCAGGGCCCAGCGGCGGGCCACGGGCAGCCAGTCGTCGGCCGTCATGTTGACGTGGTCGCCGACGAAGAACATGACGTCGGGGCAGAGCACGGCCAGGTGGCCTGCGCCGCGCACCTTGGCGAACCAGTCTCGGTACAGGGCCTGTCCGCTGAGGCCGGCGCTGAAGGCGAGCGAGCGAAGCAGCTTGGTTGTGGTGACGAAGGGGGTGAGGAGGTCGTCGCAGTACATGCACTCGTACTTGGAGTGGTAGTAGCCCATTGTGTACTTGGCCTGGTAGTTGGCCATGTGCTGCTGCAGACAGCCGTGGCTCCAGTGGCCTTGGGCGTCCCTGGCAGCGCCCCCGGCCACCTGCACGTGGTCCAGGTCGTCCAGCACCCGCACGAGGCGCTCCAACGACGACTGGTTGCTGAAGTGCGCCAGCGACTCCCCCAGCAGCACGAAGGGCGTGGTCACCTTTGATATAGCGGCGTTGAGATTCTCAGCATCAGAGAGGCTGCTGTCCATCTCGACGAAGCTCACCTGGCTCACGTTGGCCGTTGCGCCTCCTTTCTGCACCAGAACGACCACAGGGATCTCGTAGAGCTTCCTGATCTGCACAAGGACCAACTGGAGGACATCGTCTGGCCAAGACTTCGCAGGGAGGACCGCCGTCAGGACAGAGCCGAAGGACGGGACGTCGTGGCACTCTTCCTGCTCCATCCCATGCTGGTAAAGGGGCCAGTCGTACTTGTTGCCCAAATACACCTCCGGGCACACGTGGCGCTCGCCCTGCGCACTGGCATCAGGTCGTGGCGTGTCGGGGAGCCAAGCAGAAAAGTCCCAGGCCTTGTGGGGTTTGTCCAGTGCCACCTGGGGATCCAGCTGGGATGCGAGGGACTCCAGGCGAAGAACCCACTTGGAGTCCACCACTGCCTTGGTGCCTGAAGGAGGAGAAAATGCTGGTTTCATCGCCCTTTTCCATACTAGGCCCTGCACTGCCTGTTCTCCAACTCGTTATTGGCTTCGATCAGTAAGGAACAGTAAAGAACGAAAAGAGTTTCAAAAAAAAAAGAAGAAGAAGGTAGAGTAGAGTGTTTTTCCATTCAACACCAAGAAGGAAACATCTGTAATATGTGATGATAATAATGATAATATGGGTGATAGGAATAATGATTAATGATTAATGATCAGTCTCACCAAAGGACGAGTCATGTCCCCCCTACCCCCAACCCCCACCCCCCCTCCCTGACCTCTCACTCACCGGCGACCTCTGCCACCTCGCGCTCCACCTCCCGGAGCGCCGCCGCGAGACTCCGCCGCCGGTCGAGGTCGAGCTCCGGCGCCGGGCACGAGGACGACCTCCACGCCGCCGCCTCCCCGCCCCTCGCCGCCCCTGCTGCGCCGCCTTCGAGAGGGAGAGGAAAGGAAGATAGCGACGATTAGGATGATGAAAAAGGCCGAGGAAGGAGAAAAAAGAGATAATGTTGATAAGGATAATAAGCAAGGATGGTAAAGAAAGAGAGAGAAGGATGATGAAAATAAGAGTGAAAAACAGACCGATATAGGATAAAAGAGAGAGGAAGATAAGGACGATAAGAGTATGAAATATGGCCAACAAAAGAGGAGAAAGATAAGGACTGTGATGCTAATACGTAAAATATGTAATATACCCTTGCAAATTAATTAGAAAAAAAATATATATAACGTTATGCTTAGCCTGTACATGCGTGTGTGTGTGTGTGTGTGTGTGTGTGTGTGTGTGTGTGTGGTGTGTGAGTGTGTGTGTGAGTGTGTGTGCGTGAGTGAG